ATATATATATATATATATATATATATATATATATATTTATGTGTGTATCTACGTAATATAATTTGTAATTATATAATATTAAAATATCTAAATGCAGTTAATGTAATATTTTAATATCAATTCTAATAGCATATAGTGCACTCACTATTTAAATAAAGAAAAAATTTAATAATTTCAGAATATGATCAAAGATATACCGAAAGCCAGATATAGCTAAATGTAAAACATTGTATTTGGCAGTAAAACTGTTTTATAAGAGGTTGCAAAAGCATATTTTCTAAATACATGATTGCTAAATCAATTATGAAAGTATCAAAGAGCGTTTAAAATACCAGTTTAATTTCGATATTAATATTAAGCAACGATGTAAATGTATAATAATAATATGTGAATAATAAATAGTAATATGGAAAGATTAAAATATTATTTATCATAATATTATCTAAATACAATGATGCAAGCAAAATCCAACCAAATTACAAAGCATTTGACAACACAAAAAACACGCTTTACAGTCTCAGCACTTTTGATGAATTATTTTCTTTATTTCAATATTATATTATCCATGACTTTTATCAATTACCTATGGTAATATATATAGATTAAAATTTTATTAAAAATATACTTTACAAAATGGATTTACAGATGCGAAACAAAGTAAAAATAAGAAAAAACTAATCGAAAGATAATATATTAAATATATTAAATATATATTAATTGATAATATACAGTACAATTGATACATTAATAATTTAGCAAAACATGAAAAATTGTAGAGGCAAATTTTAGAAAGATAATAAAGAAATTAAGCTGCTAAGCAACAAAGGTGAGGAAAAATAATGTTAGATTAGATAAAGTTGTGGATTCACTTATTTATCTTAAATAATGGAGCCACTCTTGTTCCACGAAAACTGGAAAGTATAGAGGTAAATGATCGAAGCTTCTTCACAAATTTAACAAAATGATATCTCAGTATAAAACTTTATATTTTACATTATATTGAAATATATTTACATAATACACATTTTTATTCTATAATTCAATTTTTACCAGATATTTTCTTCATATATTCAGTAATAGCTTTGCACAGAACTATACTCGCATCTCTAATTGTTTCAGCGCTATGAAAGGCAATACTAACTCTAATACAATTTTTTGATTCGCCATGATTAGAAAATCGAGCCCCAGGTATCGCCATTACTTTGTGAACTTCTTGACACCATTTCATAAATGGAATTGTATCCAAACCTGTAATACAACAATGCATATAAAATGAAATCTGTAAATATTAAAGAAAAAGTTAAAGAATTTACTTAGTTTTATGCATTTTAAAGCAAATTCAATTTCTGTATTGGATTTCAAATGTTTCAAAAGTATATTAAATGTCTTTCATACGTTAAATAATGTGTAAAGAAAGTTATTTTCAACGTTGATATCAACCTTATATCTAATGGCGTCTTTTATAGGAAAATCGTTATAAGTTATAATAAAAATATGTATAATCAGACTGGGAATAAATGGACTAAGCGAAAATGTTTATTTACAGTAACAAAAAGATGAAGTGATGGCAATTAATGTTTAAATAACAAACAACTGGGAAAGTATAATCTGCCTAAATACTATAAAAATTCATAATCCATATAATTGTAACATAATTCGAGGATTATGCAAAGTAGATTTAGTGTTGCATGTATTTTAAATATGTAGCATTACTTATTAGAGTACATTTACTTATACTTTTTTTTTTTTTTCATTATAATTATTAACTTTACATGACTAATTGCACTTGAGGTATAGAAATTGAATTTATTTCTAATAAAATTCTACATGTATTTCAGAACTGTGTGTATGTCAAAAACATGATTATACGAATTCTAAATTTTTTTTGTGAATTTTACATGGAAAGCGAAATTAACGATGAAAATTGATTACTGCAACTTCTTATTCCATAGGATGGACTATAATTATTAATATTCTAATAGAAGACGTTTTCTATTATGTAATTGTAATTAATTATACAAGACTACTATTTTAAAAGCTTGACACGTTATAATTTAAAATAATCGCTAAAGACAAATTTAGATACCTTTGTAGCAAAAATTTAAAAAATATTTATATTAATACATAAGTTGTATCAATATATATGAATTTTCAGGAGCGTCTTTCATAATGCACACGCTTTCACAGAATTATTTATGAAAAATAAATATAGATTACCGATAAAAACAGTTGTATAACTGATGAAGATAGATAAAGCTTTACTTTATAATCCTACGCGACTACGCTACGTAGCTTTAATTATTATATCGCTTCAGTATAAAAAAAATACAATAAAAAAATTTAAGTCTCATGGTAATAAAAGCTATTGTAAAACGAAGCAGAATCAACCCCCTAGAAGATATATTAAAGACAATAAATATTAACGATATTTTAAACAAAAACAAATAAAAGAAGTAAATAATCAATTTTTCAGTAGGAACAATCGAATATGCAATTATTCTACTACAAGTTATCGCTCGATTGACTTGATTTTATATCCAAGTACTCTTCAATAAACGAATAACAATAATATTTACCTGACGAAAAATAAGAACTAATCGAATCGAATAATAACAAAAGTCCTGAGATTGCGGACGATCTAAATATTCAAAATACATACTAATTGTGCTTTAAGATATGACGTGAACCTAAATGCCCTCGATGCACTAACTCGACCTTGACTGTGTGCATAGCTGCACTTAGAAGTGCAGAAGTAGTAGTAGATAGGATCGGCTATGCGTGTAGCATTGTTCCGTGCTACCGAGGGATAAAGGAGTATGAGAACGAAGTTAAAAAGAAGCTGAGAATGGGAGATTGGAGAAGAGCAACTTTTTAAAGGATAAAGGTTGGGAGGCATGGGAAGAGGAGCGACAGTCGAATGACGAGGAGACACAAAGCCACCTTGAGCAGACTCTGACGTCTCCATCGTTTCATTTGCTTGTCGCCGACGCAGGACAGATGACAAGTAGCCGCTCTTTTCATGGCGAACCTGTCGACGACGATCTTTCATCGACTATGGACAGTCGATGCAATCGGCTGCCGAGGCACTTGCTCCGATCCTTTGACATTATCTACTTTACAAATTACCTTCCTGCTACTTTGCACATTGATTTTTTATCAACTTAAGCATCTTGAAACATCTTTGTTTTGTGTTAGTGTATGTAATAAGCAAAATCCTCAGTATGTTGATAACGGATAGGTAAGTATAATGTAGAAGGATTAATAAAGATTTTTTATATAATTGATGATAGTTGAAGAGACGATAAAGATGTCGGAAATTCCGTGGAAGGTAATTGAGGTGAAAATATAATAAGAAGAATTGGTAAAGATACAGTGACAATAAATAAATAATGATTAATTGACTCATGATATGAAATATATAAGTAAATATGAATAATATGCAAAAATTATGATGATGCAATGACATCTCGATGTCATAATCAGTTTGTTTTGATTAATTTTCATATTTTACTACATTCGGTCCCACGTTAATCAAGCAAAAATATAGTATTAAATTGTGTAAATTGTGTAAATTGTGTAGCGAGTAAATAATTACCTTCCGGGAGCTTAATCCAAACGAAATAGCCACCTTCGGGATGACGATATGAACAATTGGCTGGGAGATTTTTATCCAATGTATCGCAAAGAGTATTCATTCTTTCCTGTTGATTGTAAATTTATTGTCAATGTCATGAAATTATATTTATATGTCTAAACGCAAGTCATCCGAGCATTAAATCCTTATAAAAAAAATAATAATTTCGCATTTCTTCAACTGGTATTATTTATAAGGGTCTTTACAATTATCGCAATGCGATGTTATTTAATGCATTATCAGTATTTAAAAATTACGCTTAAAAACATTGCCTTCCACGAACTATAATAATTACATTTATAATATTGCTAAAAAATACATTATAAACAGAAATTTTAATTAATATAAACGTTTTGAATTTAATTGCGCAGAATCGCTTAATCGATCGATTACGAATACTACCGTTTATCAATACATTACCTTGTAAATTTTTATTAATTTGTCCAAGTATTCGTCTTCTAATTTAAGGTGCAATAAACTTGCTATCAATCCAGAAACATAATGATTAACAGCTCCGCCACTTTTTAAAATACCGCTAGATAAAAATAATACGCATTCGTGACTTTAGAACACAATTTACGTTTTACGTATAATTAGATATTCATAAATTATTATTTTAAGAGATGTGCAATTCTTTTCTAACTAAATTACTTACGATCCTTTAAGAATTTTCGCCACTTTTGATCCGCATTCGATCCAACCAACACGAATAGCAGGTGAAAGAATTTTTGAAAATGAGCCGTTAGAAATGATGTTTCCACCGGTATAATCAGGATTATTCGGATCGTCATAATTAAACAATCTATGCGGTGGATATTTATCTTCGTAGTGTAAAAGATTGTAAACATCGTCGCAAATTACTGCAAATGAATTCTCCCTCGCCATTTTCACTAATCTTTTCGACATCTCTATTACAATAAATTAAATTAAAACAAAAACAAAAAAAAAACAAAAACAAAAAAGAAAAACAAAAACAAAAACAAAACAAACAAAAAAATGCGAGAGTTTAATTACTCGTGTAGAAAAAATATTCACAGGCATTGATTATAATGGATTGGCTATAATTACCCGGCGATATGGACATTCCCGTTGGATTATGAAAAATCGGCACTGTGTAATACATGGCCCAGAAAATTTTTTCCTTCCCCACAGTGTATTTCGTGTTTTTTTCAATTTTAATCAATTGCTCAAAAGCATCCAAGTCAACGATATCATTCTTCATCGGGACTGCAAATATTATAAAGGTCTTACGGTAAGATATTAAAAATATTTAAATAAAAAATTTGCATTTTCAAACTTGAAAGCCTTGAATTATCATTGACAATTCGGTGACGGAGCTTTTTAAGCAAATAAAATTTACACGAGAGAGAAAAAATAAAAATAATAGAGAAATGTTTCCCTTCAAATACCGAACCTGAAATAACTCTTATCAATGGGAATTGTTTGAAAGTGTCAAGAGCTATCATATAAGTAACTTCATCGACAAAAATCACGCCATCTGGTGCTATAACACTGGTCAATATAAGTTGAATGCCATGTGTCGCTCCGCAAGTGAGAATTAAATTTTCGCGAGCAACAGGGTCGCCGTAGCGTCGAGTCAAGAATTTTGCCAATTCTTCTCGACATTCCCATAAACCAGCAGTTATGCCATATTGAAAAAGATAGTATTTGTCCTCTTTATCTTCCTCCTCCTATTAAAGAAATTAATCGTAAGTATAGAAATTTCGTTTGTTTGTTTTGTTACTTTTTTTTCATCATCATCATCATCATAATCATAATCATCATAATCATCATTATCATCATCATCATCATCATCATCTTCTTCTTCTTCTTCTTCTTCTTCGATCGACAACATTAATAGTATTCTCAGTAGTACGATCATAGATAAATGTTAATACGCTAATGAATCACAATAGAATCGTGCGCCTGAGACGAATGATTTCTTAAAATTCATTTGAATTTCAATAGGAGAAGAATTTCAATTACCCAAGAACTCGACTAGAGGATCTTTTACAAATAATAATGTGCAATATTTCAATGAATATTCCAATGCTACTTTATAAATTCATTAGCTTATTTATTATCGTAACAATTTAAAATACGACACTGTAAAGCAGGAAATTTCGATATTTAATTACATGAAAAAATAACATGGTATTTCTCAAAAACAATCTTATCATTTAAACGCTCCATAAATCTAACGTCTTTCATGAAAATTTTATCGATTTTATCGTATGTCAATTAAACGTACATAGAACGGAGTATTGTATATTGTATAAATTGCTAATAAAATCATCATGAAGAATCAGTTCTGTAGATTAATTAATAATACCGTATTAGTTGCGTCAATACTTTCACGCTTCTATAATTGTCGTGCTATGGATTGATCACGAATTAGCATATCTAAAATAATGTTTTCTTTTTCTTTTTACTATCCTCTTTCAAACGTGAACGTTGATAACATATATTATTTAAAAAAAAAAAAAACAAAAAAAAAAACAAAAAAAAATAATGAACATTTGCATTAAAATCCCCGATAGTACAATCTACTAAAATCCTTCATTAGCGGCCCCTTATCGCTCCTAACTTTTAAAATTCATTTATCCACTCGTCCAATTTTGAAAACATTGGCATGAAATAATGTCACTCGATAAGCCAACGGGGGCGCACGATTCTATAGTAAAGCCTCAACTGACACGTTCCACAATTATTACAATGAATAATTACCAGTCTATGCTTTGTAGCCTTTGCCAATAGACTACTGCAGTGCTTGAGCAAGTCGGGACCGGGTGCACCGACCGAGAGGTTGACGACATTCTTGCTGTAGACGTTTAACGCCGTATCGCCGTCAAACAAATGACGTAAGTATGGATCCTCTATCCCGGTTGTCATACTTCTCGCGGCGACTCTGCGAACGACACTGTGCTTTACGTTACGTTCTTAGCGATGCATTAAGAATGACTGCTCATGTGTCCGCGGCGACAAGCGATTGGGACGTGTGATGGTTCGCCGGTATAAGCGAGATTGCGTTTGCTGGCGTAGTTACGACGCCAACCGGCGATGTGCGATCAATGAGTTTTATTGAGCGCGCGATCGCGATATTCGAATACAAATCTCACGGATTTTCGAATTATCTTTAAGCTAATAAGGAATTTTAGGTGGGATTTATTTTGCCTTGAATCAATTAGCGACGTATATCGAAAAATAGGAATTTTGAAATTATGAAATGATTCGAATAATTCCATGTCCTGAGAACAAATGGCTGGCTGCTAAGGTGAGTGAGTGTCTTTATAAAGTATAATTAAAGTATTAAGTAATAAGAAGGAAAAGAATGTTGACATTAATAGATATCATGCACAAATGTTGTCTTTAAGACTTTTTTTCTTCTTTCTTTTTGTTTTTTTTTCTTCTTTTTTTAGTATTTATATCATTTAGTATTTATATCATAAGAAATAATGGCATTATAATATATACGAGATGAGATTACGACATTTTTTATTACCAAGGCAACCATCCAACATTGGGGATAATTAAAACACATTTTATCGCTGGAGAAATTATAATTATAATGGTAATTGATCGATAAATGCATAAATTTATAAAGAATTTTTTCGATAAATGTGATGTAAAAATTATTAAGATCTTGAATTATGCAAGCTTCATATATATATATATATATATATATATATTTTTTTTTTTTTTTTTTAATACCGACTTCTAATTTGAGAGGCTTCGATTTATATATCATAAGCTATGATTTATCTATGTCCAAAAATTAAACATTTGGCATTTCAATGTAGAAAACTCGTTACTTAATCTTTTACAATTTTCCAAACGAAAATAATTAAACGAGTAAAGGTAAACTTTTGATACAAAGCCTAGCAATGTATCGCCATTCTTAAAAATAATTTTCAAAATCTAATCGACACTTTTAGAAAGCAGACGTAAGAAAGAATGCCCATACGTTTAAAAAAACAGACATTCTAGCTCTATGAGTAATTAGCCTATAAATTTATAGATATGACGTAAAATTTCCATAGCGAAAAACTAGTCACTCCCACTTACAAATCCTTTAAAATAATACTAAACTTTTTCATGAACAGTAAAGTCCTTGAATACTCTTAGTGGTGCAACTTACCGCAGTGGACAGAGTCATTTGGACGTAAAAGACCACCCGTAGTTAGACCACCTGGAGGAGACCTTGTCATCCTTTAATAATATTATAATTCTGACAGACCGTAAGATCCTTAGACTGAGAACATTTCAATGGTTCAAGAGTGCGAGAGCTGTTTCAACTAGAAAAACAACTTCTTCTACTCTGTCTTACTAAAATGTGTAATTACATAAGATAATCCACGATCTTAAAGAAGGTATTTTCGAAAATTCATTCCTGGATCAAATGAAAGGATTTTAGTAGTTTAGTTTAGTACAAAATATTTTGTTAAAAAATGGAGAAAAAATGCTTTAGTCTCGCGCATCAAGCAATATTTATGCATAGCAACATCTATCCATTGTTGCCGTCTACCTAAACTATCGCGTACATACATAAAGCAAACACGCGACCAGCCTCTCTCTCTCTCTCTCTCTCTCTCTCTCTCTCTCTCTCTCTCTCTCAGTAAATCTCTCTCAGTGAAGACGCAATGGCACGAATTACGGTCTCTCTTGTAACAGTCACTACCTCTTAGCAGAGTCGCCACGAAACGAAAAAGCCTTCAGTTTCATGTACGTATTCAACAGAATTGTAAGCACATTTACAGCTATAATCTAGTCAAACAGTAATGCTAATAAACCATTATAAGTAAACAATTCTCAATGTACGTAACAAGTAACAAACAGTCAAGGGTGCTGGCTGCGTTACAACAACGATCAGATTCATCACTGGATCGGGTAAGAAAACTGCATCTCTGTGAGTACCACAGGCATCTGACACAGAAGTGATATAAGGCCAACAAGAGTGACCAACGAGCCCTAATAAGAGTGCCTTTAGCACAAGGTCATCAAGGCCTCTCCAAACAAATTGCGCCTAGCACACGAGCAAGAAGGCCGTTCTTATAAGAGTGCTTCTAGCACAAGCCTATAAAATATTGGGTATTATTATAATTTTTTATTTTATTTATTATAAGGCGATTAAATATTGAATTAATGCGCTATCCCTTCCACTTGTTCGCATTTTTTTTCTCCCACCAAGCAACTGGTGGCCATAGTTTAATACAGTCATCTTGGTCCTTCGATCAGCGGATGAATGGAATTTTAAACACAATTGGTATCGGAACATTAATTAATAACAATTTCATCGAAAACGATAGAAATACATAAAATTTGCTTACACAAATCTTTCTGCGAATTAATTCATAAAAATTGTTGGAAATACGAAGTTTGTATTACTCATACATTACATAAATTCACTAAAATAGAAGAAATTACTCGATGCGAGTAACTATACAATTATTAACTTGACAAATTTAATAGGATCTCGACACGATATAAAACTTATTAAATTTTGATATATATTAATTATTTATGGTATCGATGTTGAGATACAACAACAATAATAATAATAATAATAATAATAATAATAATAATAATAATAATAATAATAATAATAAT